TGGGATTTCTGTGGGAAAAGCAAGTCTTATGGCTTGACTGGTGTGCAGATTTTTGTTTACCATTGTATTGACTATATATATATATGTATATATATATATATATATATATAATGGAAAATAAGACATATTTAAACCAACCCCACAATGGACATAGGAGACATAGAAGTACATATATTAAATGGACACGCATACATTTTCAAACAAATCAACACATAATTACAATAGCTGAACGTTGCTTTCAATTGTAAGCATATAATCAAATATATGTAAGATAATCTTGGAGTATATAAAAACTGGACATTGTATTTTTTTGTTCCTTTTCTACTCATGGTTAATTATATGCATCCTCCTTACTATATGATTTAACACTTACTCAAGAATGCACAACTCTCATAGTTAAATATGTAATGTTTGTGAATGCTTATGCACTTGTGTGTGTAACGTACATGTGTGTATGATGCACGTGCATAATGCATTTATTTATGGATTGAATATGTGTATGTTGAATGCATATAATATCCTTAACATCATTAAGCATATATTAGAGCCTAAAATTGGGACATTTTCCTACAATAGGGACTGTCCTTTCAAATTCAGGCCAGTTGGAGGACCTGTTAACCTAACCCTGACAACAGCATAAACAACCTGCAAAATGTAAATCAGCTTGGACCCTTAATTTGGGATGAAATTCACTATATTTACTATCATCGAAACTGAAGAAAAATGTTGAAAATTTTTCCCGAAGCAAATTATTACTGAAATAAAGGATGACTATAGTCATCCACACCACGTCATCTCCTCCAGACTGAGTAAAATGTGTTCTGAAAATCGAATGCTGCTGATATTATATACAAAGCATATTTTTATATGTGTATTAGATACACATCATTTTTTAGAACCATATAAAAATAACAATATTATGATTAATATATCTCAATACACTGATATGAGTATTGATATGACTGGATTGTCCCCATTGTATAGATATCGTAATTTAATGAAAGACTAAAACAAGCAAATCATTAAAAAAAAATAAAAAACTTTTCTGACTTACTTATGCTAATAAGGGCTACATACACTAATGCAACAGTAGAGGCAATGTTGTGAAGGGACGAAAGAGAACAAAAAATTCAGGTACCAGGACAGATTGCCAGAACCCTCACACCATTTGACACCCCAGAAGTGTCTAAGGGCTTAACCCTATCATACAATAATTACTAATAGGAAGCTCATAATTCACAAAATGTGAATACGTGCTGTCTGGAATAAATGTAATATCCTTTCAAGTATGGTCTCAAAATGTTTACTGTGTGACAAGAATCACACTAGAGAAAGATAAAAATAAAATAAGTAAAGTGACAATGCAAGTCTTATAATGCTACTCCTTAAACTTAACCTATTAATCTTAAATAGTACCGTGGCTTGCTATGAAATTGTAACAGACTTTATTATACAGGTCTATTCTGGTATGCCATATAATCTCAACAAGAGAGGTAAAAAGTGAGATTGAGAAGGTTAAATGAACTCTTCAGCTGTATATCGAGTTAATCAGTATGTAAATATCATAGGGTTACCTGACCACCATTAGACAGCTTAAAATAAAGTTGCAAGTGGCTATGATAAGTACAAATTTATAGACACAAAAAGTGTCTCAAATACATTTGTGGTAACCAGAAAACCAATAGAGATATCAGATAGAATTAACATAAGCCTCACTCCCTGGTAATCTAGCTAGACAGGCAAGTAGAAGGAGTTAAAGAAATATAGTGAATAAAATATATAATTTAATATACATCAAGCCTTATAAGGCTACTCCTTAAATGTAGCCTGTTAATCTTAAATAGAACTAAATATAGCTTGCTATGAAATGTTAATGTGGTGGAGGGACATTTGGAGCTGAAGCCCAGTATGTGGGCTTTTTAGCCTTGGATTACTCCAGAGGCATAATTTACCTTGGTCCCCTGTCCCCGATATTGCTGTAGCATTTGCCAGCCGTGCTAACCACCATTGCCCTGGACTGGCCTGATGCTTACTTACACAGTATGGTTGGGTGATTACTAGTTCATTGACTGTTGGCCCACAATCTCAATGTTCTCCAGGCCTAGAGTGGCCACTGTGATATTTCACAGGACACTGCAGCCAGCAGTGTATTTACCGCGAGGCTGACAAGGCATTTGCCTTGGGTGGCACTTTGTGGGGGTCTGCAAAAAAAGCAGCCCCAAACACTTAGGCAAATACCTTGCCAGCCATTTGTCTTGGGAGGCCCAGGAGCTGGTCGGCTGGCCACCTCAGGCCCCCCCAGAGGCTGGCATTACCTGATGTTCGAGCTGGGCGCGTGAGGGAGCACTGTCCCCTGACCGCAGTGATGCCGGAGCCATAAAATGACGTGACTCCGGCCCTGGCCTCACTGAGTGGTGCGCGAGGGAGCTGAGCAGGGAGATCAGAGCTCCCTCGTTGCCCGCCCGCCGAGCTGCAGCCAGCCCCACTAGACTACAGGGAAATGGAGAATCCACTCCAGCACTCCAGCAAAGGTATGGAGGCTGGGTGGATTGAAATTAAAAAAAAAAAAGAAAGAAAGAAAATGTTAGTGTGTGTGTGTGTCTGTTGGTGAGTGTGTTAGTTTATCTGTGTCTCTTAGTGAGAGTGTGTGTCTGTCAAAGAGTGTGTCGGTGAGAGTGTGTATGTCTGTTAGTGAGTGTGTTAGTATGTGTGTCTATTAGTGAGTGTGCTAGTGTGTCTGTTAGTAAGAGTGTGTGTGTCTGTTAGTGAGTGTGTTAGTGGGTGTCTGTTGGTTAATATGTTTGTGTGTGTCTGTTAGAGCGTGTTTGTCAAAGAGTGTGTGTCAGTGAGAGTATGTATGTCTGTTAGTGAATGTGTATGTCTGCCAGTGTGTGTATGCGTGTTTGTCACCGAGAGTGTGTATCTGTCAGTCAATGTGTATGTCTGTTAGTGAATGTGTATGTCTGACACTAAGTGTATATGTGTTTGTCAGTGAGTGTGCATGTGTGTTTGTCAGTGTGTGTCTGTCAGTGAGTATATGTGTGTCACAGTGTGTGTGTCTGACACTGAGTGAGTGTGCGTCTGTCAGTGAGTGTGTATGTGTATCTGCCAGTTAGTGTGTATGTGTGTCTGTCAGTGAGTGTGCATGTGTATCTGTCAGTGAATGCGTGTGTCAGTTAGTGTGTCTGTCGGTAAATGTGAGTGTCTGTCAGTGAGTGTGTATGTATGTTTCAGTGAAAGTGTGTGTTGGTTAAAAGTGTGTGTGACAATGACTGTGTATCTGTCAGTGAGTGTATGTCAGTGTATACATCAGTGAAGGCATGTGTCTGTCAGGCAAAGAGAGTGTTGTTTTTTTTAAAAGGAAGTGAAATTGGGGGAGTGGGGGCTGAGTTTTGTCATGCCTAGGGCAGCTCAAAACCAGAATACACCACTAATTGCAGCATCGACGGCCAACCAGGCTGACAGACTAGTATGTATTATGCAAGATGTCCCTGAAGGTAGAAGGGGCAAATAGGTGACTGCCTAAGGCCATGCTCAAACTTGGGGCTTTGGGGCTTCACCAGTGCCAGGGTGCAGAATGGCAGAGTGAGGGACAGCCTAGTGGATCTTCCCAAAGCTCCAGTCAGATAGCCTCCAGTTTATTTGTTTGTGTATTTTAATCAGGAGCCCCCCTCCCGTGTTTGTAAGGACCAGAGGTTGCAGGCTGGGTACATGTACAAACACACGGCCAGTCTCTACCGTTTGTGGTTTTGTGTAGAGGGGGATTAGAAAAAGAGTGAGTAGAGATATTTCGTCATAACACACTCCTCTCTTTCTGTCTCCACCTCCATAACAGCACAGAGGGATTCTGGGACCCGGCCTTTGGGCTCGAAGAGGAACTTCCTCACCACTGGACTACCAGAACTTAGATCTTTTTGGCACAACAGGCCAAAGGGCGATAAAGAGATTATGATAATGAGATAAAGGGATTGTTGGGCCTCATACTGGAACTTTGCCCCACGCATGGGTAGGCAACCTTCGGCACTCCAGATGTTGTGGACTACATCTTCCATAATACTCTTAGAGCTGGCAAATCACCAGTGGAGATGTTGTACACTGGTCAAGAGTGCAGAAGGTTTCCTACCCCAGGCATTAGGTGTTTGCAGTAACTGAAGGGTGAAATGAGATAGTGCTCATGACATTCATTACACATACCGGTGTCATTGGTGGCAGTTAAGTCACGGCAGAGTTTGCCTTTGTTAGGTATCCACTTATTTCAGTGATGCGCTGTCATGCAGAACTTACACACTGAGATCTATGCATTTCACGTGTAAAAAAAATAATTTAAATGTACTTGATCAAATATTGTCTGCCCTGCCTTGGTTTCTGCTCAGAAGAAGCTAGCGACAGTGACTTCTACTGACCCAGATACAAATGTGTCAATGAAACCCCTAGCAAGTTAGTACCAATTATGCAGAGGGACTTGACACACAGATCACCGGTACAGGACCAGTTCCTCTCAATCTGTAAAGCTGCCCACTAAACATTGTGGCAAACATCAATGTATTATACCTCGGGGTTCTCTTCATTCCATTTGCCATTCCATAGAACACAGCTGCTAGTCTCCCTGTTATAACCTGACAGACACTTTATTTGGGCACTACCTGTGCAGAATGTCTCTGTGGTGTGTCTCAGGAGCTTGCTTCCATCAAACTCTGTTCTACTCACCTTATACTGCAATTCATGGTTGTCATATTATAGGACAGCTATACATTCAGTTCTCCTCTCTCTTACACACTGCCCTGATAAACGTGGCATAGCTCAGTATAGGGTTTTTTTTTTTTTTTTCCTACTTTTGCCTACGAACATTTGCATACTACAGGTGGACATGCTAAACCGATTCCCATTGAAAGGCGTCTCACAAAAGCCCATTATGTGAGCGAGAGGCAGGAAAAGAGATGCAAGGTCACATGAGCAGCAGTAACAGCAGCAGAAGCAGTCCCCCACCCCCTTCCCAGTCACTGGCAGCTAATGCCTCACTCTAACTGCCTGGGTTGATGATGCCTCTGGGACTGGCAGTGGCACTCGGCGTCCTCCCACATCTGGATCGCAGACACTTCCAACCCAGGCTTGCTGGCAGTCCAGTCCTACACGCCAGTGACCCCTCAACAAGGTAACTATCCATTCACTGGGCACTTGCTTTGTCACAGCTCTGGGGCTCACTCACAGCACCATAAGAAAGAAAAAAAGGATTAAGAGATACTGAGATGCATTTCAAGGATGCTGATCGGCTGCAAGAGGAGGAGGATGGAGCAAGTGTCAATCAGTTCAGCTTGAACATCCATGGTCAGCATGCTACACATTGGCAGTGAGACACAGGAGCCAGGCTGGCACCGGCTGCAGGTAATAAACCAGAGATATATAAATCCTCTTTGGGGGCTGTTGCTGCTGAATTTAGAAAGGAATCCCAGTTAGGGTCTTGTGTTCACCCCCCACTGGCCCAGACCCTGCAATCATGTCTGATGGGCAGCTAGAGCAGGGATAACCTTGCTTATGTAGATACAGGCTGGCTTAGCATGCTGGGAAATATAGTTCATATATATTCGCAGTTTAGAGGTTACTCACCATTCAGATAAGAGACGAGCAGCTGTGAGTACTAATCTCAGTTATGCTACAAACCCATTTACCGAGAACAGGAAAGTAGGGGTTAAATAAAGGTTAATAAGATTGCTTTATGTTAAAAAAAACAGAACAAGTTTGAATATAATCTTGAAGTATTGTGCCCAGTGTTAACGCTTAATCCAATGCATACAATTTATGGCAGGAGTTTTGCATGAAATATATTGTGGGTTTTTCTTACAATGTTTATTTAGGAAAATAAGACCTGTAACAGCAGATGAAACTCAATAAGCAAGCATAATACATGCATAGATATTCATGGTATTCATTGTCAGCAGTGGAAAGAATAATGAACAAAAGGTAGAAGAGGAAAAAGAAAATGAATGTGAGTAGATCGAGTAAAGATTTGGAAACAACAGGCAAATCCTTGTGAAGTTTAATTAGGGGCAAGCCACCAAAATAGCTGCAGAGCAAAGCGAGGGCCCTCCAAGATAATCCACTTAGTGCCAATGGTGGAGAAAAAAAAGGGGGAGGGAAGGGACAAAAGGGTTAGATAGATTTAATTAGGTTGTCCGGGGTCATGGGATTGCACTAGGGAATGGAAAGATTCTGAGTAAAGGAACTGATCCCATACACCATAATGTAGCAGTTTTATGACCTCTGGATCTGTCTTTAGTCTCCATGAATGTGACCACTTCCACCCTAGATATCCATCATGGACGGAAAGTTATTATGTACAAACCAGAAAGCGGATCATTTAATATAATCTATAAATATCTGTGTAACAGGAGAAATATATTCGTGAAATGGAACTTAATGTGTATGTATATAGCAGCATTATATAGATAGATGCAATGCATGTGAATTTGAATATTGATAAGTGAAATCATTTCAGTGATAAAATTATTCATTATTGTTTGTATTTGGCATACATAACCTAACATCATGCCTATATCTAGGTTTATTAAACAATTAAATACACAACAAATTTGACTGATGTTCCTCTTATAAACATCAATATTATGTAGACACGAATGGTAGAGACCATCAATATAGCAATGATTTAATAGTGTTACTTTGAAAACAGAGCAATGCCCTCTCAGCTCATTCAGCTCCTTTTATAAGCCAAGCTTAATTTACACTACTGGGTGCACTGGCTGAGAATTATGGGAGTTACACTGACCACAGCATCTTGAATAGAAGTATATCCTAGCCATAAGTCCTCCCTAATACTAAATACATTCTCACCCTAAGTCTCTGTAACCCTAAAACCCTCTTAACTCTAAAAGCCCCCTATCATTAGCCAAGTGTACCAGTTCTGGATGCCCAAAAGATACTCCCCCTTTAAACCTGATTGTTTCAAATGCAAAATTTCCATTGTATTTCTAGGTAGTTCGGTGTGGTTTCATATTGGGTTACAGTATGGATTGGATCACAGTCATGTAAACCTCTCAGTGAGGCATAACTTAACCGAACACATTTCGAGCACCATAACCACTAGAGCCAGCTGTAATTTTAATGGTACCTTCCCAGAGCAATAAGTCATCCATGTATGAAGCATTTGACAATTTTCCTGGGATTTGCCTGGGCACCCAACCAAAGCCTACTCTGCAAACGGACAAAGCCAACTCTGCACTAAGCTAAACTCAGGGGGGCCAGGCCTATGTTTATTAGCTGAGAGTGTTCAGCTTAGGGCTTACCTCTGTGGACTTCTTGCAGAAGATTCTGACCACAGGGGCAGCAGTGATGGGCGCCCAGCAGAATCCAATCAAGCTGGCAAATTATTCTTAAATGTTTTGGCTGCTTACTCTGGGTGGGTGGAAAGAAACTCCTTGGAACATAAACACTACAGCAAGCTGTAGTGGTTATGGTGCTTGGAGTGTTCCTTTAAATTACTTGGGCGAACAAGACAATAGTGTCAAATGTTTCTATTTTTAGCTATTGTCTTTGGTGCTAGAGAGACAGACTAATTTTTAATCATTCTCATTATGCTGACCTTTTTGCCTGTGTGTAAGCAGGAAATCCTTTCAATCTGAAAGGTTTTTGTCTGAAGTGTTTACTCAGTGCTATAAATGAATTGGTAATCTTTGTTCCAGCAATGATGCAAGCCATGAATGGTGAAAATAATGGTCCTCTTTACAGCGCGATACAAATTACCTTCAATTTAATACAATGCTTTTTGTGAACAGTGGTGTAAATGGAGTATTCATCATGTCTTCAAAAAGCAGACATGTTCTTAGAATTCCAAGAGTTAAAGGACAAATAAAGTCATCCAGGTTACTTCACCTTGGAAGGGTTACACAGTCACTATAGGCACTTCTGCAATAAAGTTTGAGTAAAACACTGTTATGTGATGTTGCAGCCCTCATAGGAAAGCATTGATTCAATGCTTTCCAATGGGGAAGCTTGGAGGCACCTGTGACACTTGAACTTACCGCACATGTGCATCAGGTACCCATTGGATTGGACCTTTGCCGAACAAGTACGATTTCAGTGGGACAGTCCTAATTTTCAGATCCAGCCATCCTGACTTTGTTCCCTTGTGTCCTGCTTTGGGGGACACCAGGGTACTGTCCCCAAAAAGTGTAGGATAAGGACATAATTAGATGCACTGGTGCTGCACTCAAGGCACTAGGGTCCTGCAGAAAGCCATGCTGGCCTACATGACTGGCAGGCAACCAAACTAGGGTGACCTGTCAGTAATTTGGGTGGACCGCCCCAACACTGGTGTCCTGCTTCTTGGGATGCCAATGTTGGGGGTATGAAATTCCATAAAGTACTAAATAACTTTTCATCTATACATTTGCTAGCAGTTTGTCTATTGTAACGTACAGAAGACACACTGCTCTTTAAGGCGATGCCGAGTCAACTTTAAAGAACATGCTAGTCACTGATATCTAAATTTTTCACATTAAATGTATGCCTTAAGGCTTGCTTTGCATCCTGGGAAAATGTAATTTTCAAACATCTGGTGTGCCTGATTTAGGCATCCCTGCTCTGGGCACAAGATGTTTTCCAGCAATTTAAATGTACTCATTCTTGGCATATGTAGTACAGATTGATTTTCGTCAATCAATGTTTATCCTACCTTTTCATTCCCCTGCCACTGTTAAATATAGTGTGTTGTCAGAGAAGTAGTAATGAGAGTTAAAGGGACACTAAACTGCCTAAATACATAATAAATAAAAATCACTGTTTAGTAGAAATACCCAAGTTAAAACTTGCATGCATTTAATTGTGCATTTTGTCATTGGAGGTATATTTAAAAACAACCTGCAAGACCTGAAATTTTCTTGTCTGAAGCCTTTGCCAGCCCTCTCCTTCTAACCCCGCCCAGGCCTTCTGTGGCTGTCCAATGACAGACTTCATAATGCAGCTCAATGAGAGGTCTTTGCTAGGCAGGTGCTCTGAGCAATTGCTACCACTTGAGTTTAGCACCACTGAGCTAACCAAACCAGGAAGTAACAGATCTGTTTGCTTGAAAGCCAGAGGTGTGTAAACAGGTAAATACATAAAAATGTCAATTGATATTGAAATCTGCACATTTTGCAAAATGTAAAGAAGCGGATAAAGTCTTCACACATTAAGCTTTTCAGCAAGCTAGAGTGCATTATGGGTCTGGAGTGTCCCTTTAAGCCGTTTACCGTAGAACAGACCTTGCATACCCATAATGACTCATAAGGGAGTGGTTTGGGCATGCATTCTTTCATTGGACAGTCCTGTTCGCACAAATTTTTGTCATGGAAATCACAGAGTGAGACTGACACTAATCTCCCAACTTCTCCCTAATTTCCGCAGTTTTCCCTGGAGTCAGTTTGGAAATAAGACATACTTTAGCAGTTAAGTATTTATATATATATTTTTTTTTATGCAGTGCATAATATCATTACATACAAGCTTGGGGTGCCCCAACTGCAATCCTCAAATATATTGTCATGCATAACAGTTGGAGTATTACTATAATAACAACATATTCAAGCTATGATTCCATGGCTAGTCGTAAAGGAAAGATTACACTAAAGTGTCAGCGAAATAACTACTAATGAGTAATCAAAGTAGAATGTACTGGTAGAATGTACTGGGGAAGCTATAGCACAGCTTAGTAAGTACACAAATGATTTTCCACTGAGCCAACATACCTTACCATGGTACTGGCCTGTTGGAGCTGGGCTTTAATGTAGTGCCCAGCGGATTATAGAAACAAAGGGATCTGAAAGGGACACAAGGTGTTCTCAAAATAACTACATATGCACATTCTAATAGCATTGTTAGTACTACACTCCATGAAACTATTGTATTTCTCAGATCAGGTGAGAAAGGAGCTAAACATAAATAGAAAAACAGGGCACAGCGTAAATTAAGTTCCATGGGCAAGTGTGTGGCTAATGTTAGGAAGCCCTGCATAGCCGGCACTGGGCCTTGGATGGAAAGTCCAGCATCAGCCAACGCCAAGACATGGGAACATGTGAAGGCTGCTAGGAGGCTTAACAAAGCGTCCCTTCAGCCCTGGACCTTTTTGAAGGCCTGGATCTCTGTACCATAGACTCGGGGTCTCACATGACGGTATATGCAGCATTTTATTGTACATGCAGCATAAGATTCCAAGTCCTTCCCTACTGGGATATGGCAAAGTCCCTGGATGGTCGGTTGCTGCTTGAGGCGTAGGATCTTCTGCCTCTGTGGATGATGCAATGGGAGGGCATCCCTGATGACTCTCAGCATAGGCTGGTGTAGTGTGGGTGACATAGCAACTTGTAGGAGGGTTGTGTCCGGAGGGGGATCAATTGCCTTGCCACCTCTTCTCCTCCATCTACTCTCCTGGCCCCCAGGTGCTACCGCCGCTGCTCGGGCCTTTAGTTGCACCCAGAAACAAGTGATAATTTCATCCAGATGCTTTAGCATTTGGTCCAGTGTGGCACACCTATATAGCATGCCAGGCTGTTGCTGAGGTTCGTGAAGAGAAGGCGTGTCCGCCATTTTGCAGGCGGGTGCCATAGTCTGTGCCAGTGCAGTTTCAGATGCCTTTGTTCAATGAGGTGAGTGGGGCCGATCGGTGGGGACCAGGATAACCCCTGCCGGTCCAGAGGGGGGGAGAGGTGATACGCAGGAGTCCCACTTTTGATAAAGAACCAGGAGAGCGGCCACCACTCTGTGGCTCTGCTTGTTGTAGGCCACAAGCCTCGATTTGGGTAGCCCGTGTAGGGTACTGCCAGATACAGCAGCGTCTCGCGGACAAGATTAGTGAAGGCTGCACTCAAAATGTGCCCCTAGTCAGTGAATGCAACCTGATATTCACTAGAGGATACTTCCTGGTTTCTAGCACAGGTTTTCTGTGCTAGAGCGTCGCTGGACGTCCTCACGCTGAGTGAGGACCTCCAGCATCGCTCAATTCCCCATAAGAAAGCATTGAAAGCATTTTCAATGCTTTCCTATGGAGAGGTCTGATGTGCACGTGCAGCATTGCCGCGCAAGCGCATTAGGTCTCCCCCGCTGGCGGACGCACATGCGCGATCGGTCTCCCCCGCCGGATGATGTCGGCGAGGGAGAAGCATGGGCGGACCCAAAACCACCGCCGAGGGACATCGGCGGTGGTCTCAGGTAAGTCACTGAAGGGGTTTTCACCCCTTCAGCAACATAGGATGGGGGGTGGGAGGGAGAGGGGACCTGCAAAATGCCGCCCCTGGCCAGCCAGGCGTACATAATGTAGATTTTTCACTAAACTGCGATTTGAGGATAGTTGACAAGATAATTTTTAGCACCTTGTGAAAACAAAAGCTGAGTTGTAGAATTTTAGAAACATAGAAACATAGAATGTAACGACAGATAAGAACCATTCGGCCCATCTAGTCTGCCCAATATTTCAAAGTACTTTTAATTAGTCCCTGGCCTTATCTTAAGTCTAGGATAGCCTTATGCCTATCCCACGCATGCTCAAACTCTCTCACTGTGTTAACCTCTACCACTTCAGCTTGAAGGCTATTCCATGCATCCACTACCCTCTCAGTAAAGTAATACTTCCTGAAATTATTTTTAAACCTTTGCCCCTCTAATTTAAGACTATGTCCTCTTGTTGTGGTAGTTCTCCTTCTTTTAAATATAGTCTCCTCCTACTCTGTTGATTCCCTTTATGTATTTAAATGTTTCTATCATATCCCCCCTGTCTCGTCTTTCCTCCTAGCTATACGTGTTAAGATCCTTTAACCTTTCCTTGTAAGTTTTATCCTGCAGTCCATGAACCAGTTTAGTAGCCCTTCTCTGAACTCTCTCTAAAGTAGTAATATCCTTCTGAAGATACGGTCTCCAGTACTGCGTATAATACTCCAAGTGAGGTCTCACCAGTGCTCTGTACAATGGCATGAGCACTTCCCTCTTTCTACTGCTACCACCTCTCCCTATACAACCAAGCATTCTGCTAGCATTTCCAGCTGCTCTATTACATTGTCATCTGAAATAATTACTCCTAAATCCCTTTCTTCAGATGTTGAGGTTAGTAGGGTATCAAATATCCTATACTCTGCCCTTGGGTTTTTACGTCCAAGGTGCTCTGACCATTTTTCAAATTTTTCTAAATCTTTTGCCATTTGGCTTATCCCTCCTGGAACATCAACCCTGTTGCAAATTTTAGTATTGTCAGCAAAAAGACATACCTTACTATCAAGACCTTCTGCACTATCACTAATAAAAATATTAAAGAGAATGGGTCCAAGTACAGATCCCTGAGGTACTCCACTGGTAACTAGACCTTGTTTTGAATATACTCTGTTGATTACAACCCTCTGTTGCCTGTCATTTAGCCACTGCCTAACCCATTCAACAATATTGGAATCCAAACTTAAATATTGCAGTTTATTGATGAGCCTTCTATGTGGAACAGTGTCAAAAGCCTTACTGAAATCTAGGTAAGCAATATCTACTGCACAACCCTGATCTATTATTTTAGTTACCCAATCAAAAAAATCAATAAGATTAGTTTGGCATGATCTCCCTGAAGTAAACCCATGTTGTCTCTGATCTTGAAATCCATGTGTTTTTAGATGTTCAACAATCCTATCCTTTAACATGTTTTCCATTACTTTCCCCACTACTGAAGTAAGGCTTACTGGCCTCTAGTTGCCCGACTCCTCCCTATTACCTTTCTTGTAAATGGGCACAACATTCGCTAACTTCCAATCTTCTGGGACTACTCCTGTTTACAATGATTGGTTAAATAAATCTGTTAATGGTTTTGCTAGTACACCACTAAGCTCTTTTAATAGCTTTGGGTGTATTCCATCAGGTCCCATTGACTTATTTGTCTTTACTTTTGACAGTTGAAATAGAACCTCTTCCTCTGTAAACTCACATGTAACAAATGGATCATGTGTCCTTTTTCCTAACTGGGGCCCCTTTCCTTCATTTTCATCTGTAAATACTGAACAAAAATATTCATTGAGGCAATCAGCTAGACCTTTATCCTCTTCTACATACATTTCTTCTTTTGTTTTTAATCTAACTAATCCTTGTTTTAATTTCCTTTTCTCATTTATGTATCTAAAAAATGTTTTATCACCCTTTTTTACTGAATGTGCTATTTTCTCTTCTGTGCTTTGGAGGCTCTTATGACTTGCTTAGCCTCTTTCTGTCTAATCTTATAGATCTGTCTGTCTACCTCACTCTGGGTTTTTTTATAATTACTAAATGCTAACTTTTTGTTTTTTTTTACTATTTTGGCCACATCTGAGGAGTACCACAGTGGTTTCTTACATTTTTTGCTTTTACTGACAAGCCTAATGCAATTTTCTGTTGCCTTCAGCAGTGCAACTTTTAAATAATCCTATTTCTCCTGGACTCCATTTCAACTGCTCCAGTCTGACAAGGACTCCTTTACGCATATTCTAATTTTAGAAAAGTCAGTTTTTCTAAAGTCTAAAACTTTTGTTTTTGTGTGGTATGACTCAGTCACTGTTCTTATATTAAACCACACTGACTGATGATCACTGGATCCTAAACGTTCACCTACAGTAATATCTGATACCAAATCTCCATTTGTAAACACTAAATCTAGTATGGCCTCCTTACGAGTTGGTTCCTCAACGAGTTGTTTTAGAGACAATCCCAGAATGGAGTTTAGAATATGTGTGCTCCTGGCAAAAGCAGCTATTTTGGATTTCCAGTTAACATCAGGAAGATTAAAGTCACCCATGATGATAACTTCCCCTTCATTGTCATTTTAGCTATTTCCTCAGCTAGTAGATTATCTAACTCTTCTATTTGTCCTGGGGGCCTGTAAATCACACCTACACGAGTTACTGTGTGATTTCCAAATTCTAACGTAACCCAAACGGACTCTATGTTTGCCTCACTAACTTTTATTAGGCTAGATTTTATGCTATCCTTCACATACAGGACCACCCCTCCCACTTTCTTGCCTTCTTGCCTTCTCTGTCTTTTCTGTATAATGAGTACCCTGGTATTGCTATGTCCCAGTCATTTTTCTCATTATACCATGTCTCAGTAACAGCGACTAAATCTACATCCTCAGTTGCCATTATTGCCACAAGTTCATGGATCTTATTCCCTAAACTGCGAGCATCTGTTGACATGACTCTAAGCGTATAATTTTTTAACACACTTTTTACAGTTACTTTCTGTTTTTGTTTTGGGGGGCAATTGGATTGATGTTTTATCACCCTTTTGTCCCCTCCTCCTAGTTTAAATACATCCTAGCAAAACCTCTGAACTGCTCACTGAGAACATTTGTTCCCTTTTGAGAAAGATGCAAACCATCTTTTTTTGTACAGCTTATCCATTCCAAACAGAGCTACTGTGAGAAACAAAGCCAAATCCTTGCTCCCGACACCATTCACCAAGCCACAAATTAAAGTCCCTAATACGCATCCGCCTGTCGTTCTGAGTGTTATGCACAGGCAGAACTTCAGAGAATGACAGTGTGGAAGCAACCTGCCGTATATCATTGGCAAAAACACAAAACCCTTCCTTTACCTCAGAAACCTCATTGCAAGCCAAGTCATTTGTCCCTAGATGGACAAGTACATCCAATTCCCCTTCCTGCTTTGCTCCCTTAACAATATTACAGATACGTCTCCTGTCTCTGTGAGACTAAAATTCACTATTTCCTTTGCATAATCCCTGTTTGAGTAAAAAAAAACAAAGGCATTCTGGGTAATAAGGTTTTGAAGAATAGTTTGGTTTAATCCCATTTTCATTAAAAAGTACAAGTCAGTGAAGGGGCTATCCAATCGATAAAAGCTATTTTGGTTAGAATTACCCTTCCTTTCCAGGTTCCCCCAAACATTAAATAAAAATAAAATGCAAAAGTTCTCCCCTCAGCCCGATCATCTTTCGTGTCACGTCACACCCCCTCCTTAAGGTTAAGATTGGCCGATGGGAGGAAATGGGCTTTTGGATACCTGGCGCATGTCCAATATGCACACTACCAATATTATCCAGCCCAGAAATCTTTATCTGGGCTGGCTAATGCCACGTCAGTGACACTGCGGGTGGGGTTACATGTCTGGCAGCAAAGGGGTTAAATCACTGAAGTGGTCATGGTGCTTTGAGTAACCCTTTAATTCTACTTCAGTCTTTAAATTATCATAAAACAATCCTTCATATTCAGATACAATATATTGGGAACACCTTGCTTATTTTTTTGCACTGATAATAGATCCCAGAATGCTAAAATATCCATCAAAGGGTTGCTTGGCCCTAGCAATTTGGTCCACCCATTGTATACTTAAAAGAAAACTATTAATGAGCATTATCTTACCTGGAATCATGTGTTGAGCAAGCTCTCCTTGCTGCTCTTGCCCCGTTTGGGAATAGAAGGTGGCTACGTCTGTTGCCAGTGCCGGTGGTGACAGATGTAATTTTTTTGCACAGATTTAACATTTTGAATGAACATTAGGCAGAATTAACGTTAATACAGTTCAGGGCTGCCTAAAAAGAAAGCATAAAATATTACTTTCTTTAAACATTTATGTGTCAGGCAATACTGCATACTCAAGCAATCAAAGGGTCAATCCCATCTTTAACAGCATCGTATATTTGTGCTGTGTCCACATTAAGTGTTATCTTTTTATAGCAGGCAACCATAAAACACATATCACTGCGTTTTCTACTTCCTTTATCTTCTACCGTTAAATGCAAAAAAACCCCCAAAACACGAGGTCACGGACTGACGTTCACCGGAGAGATTCTTTTTAATGTTTTCCTTCTCAGGGAATCAATTTAAGCTACAATTTTCCGTTGTTTAATATGAAACCGAAGAAATGCGTTCAACGAAATCAAAATAATGAGTTCCAACTGTGTAATCCTAACTGCCTACATCCATAAAAATTGATATTCAAGTCATTGAAAGATCTTATCACATCTAGTCTAACCTATTCAACATCTTTGGTGACAGATCTTTATCTCGTTGTAGTCAATTAAAATAAAACAAAAGACTGAATGAATAATGGCACTTCGCCATGTTAAATGTATACAATGTGCCTCAACTATCGCCAATGATTCTTTTATCATGTGGGCTCACAGACGGGGCTCTCATGTGCCCTCATTTCTTTCTGGAGACTTTGTTTAAAAGTATCGCTGTGCTAGACTGAAAGACAACGGGTAGAAATGTCAATTGCTATTGTATTTCCCTGCAGTAGAGTGGTTTTGTTCTGTAAAATTAAACCTACATACAAACTGTACAGTGCTGCAAAAATATGCAGGTGCTTACGGGGAACTTGAATCACCATAACTGGTGTAGGTAATTGTAGTGGTTATGGTACATCTATGGGTACTGTCTGTCTTTTTATTGTCAAATAAATGTAAAGCTGTTTCTAGACCCTCTGGAGCTGTACTCATAATGAGGATATTTTAATTCTGTATTATCAAGTGTGAATCCCTGTGCATCCAGCCTCGTATAAAGCTAAAACAGAACAGATCACATACAGAAACTGTTGCACAGAAAAGGCAATGGGAGGGCCAGGATCGGCTCTGTGATCTCAGCCATTTCCTGTTTGAAAAGGACCTCAGCAGAAGAAGAGAGCTCTGGGAATGAGATTCAAGGGCCATATTTATGCAATTTCTATATTTTAGTTTGCATACAATACATAATAAGAACAATGATGGAGACTCTTGGAGTGCTGACATTACCTACATCTGAAAGTGCTGTCGAGATGAGTTGTGTAATGCTAAAAGGGACACTATAGTCACAAAAGCAGTTTTAGCTTAATGAAGCGGTTTTGCTGTATTGATCATGCCCTGTCTCACTGCTCAATTCTCTGCCATTCAAGAGTTAAATTACTTTATTTGTGCAGCACTCCATGCTTGTAATGTACACAGCCTTCCTAAACACTTCAGGAAAGAATGGTTAATATCTTCCTCCTTTACTCTGTTATATCAGGACAATCTGAAAAGATAATAAAACCAAGCTTCAGCATATCTCTGTATATAGTCCAATTATGGCTGAGCCTCAACGTAGCTAAATAAATACATACGAGATGTGAATTATGTATAGCTGAGTGAGTGCATCCTGTTCTGACATCAACATAAATTGTGGCGTTTTAAGAGCTGTAGGCAACTGAACCCGATCAATAGCACCAATATCAATTATCCATGTTTCCATAAATGATATAGGAAATCTGATTAGTTTCATAACAATGACACATATAAACTACGCTAACAACCCCTGTGGAGCATTATTATTGTACTAAAGGCAGTAACATGGAGCTTTGTCTATTTGCCACGGACAGAAATGGTATTTATATTTTGATACTCTTTAGGCACTACAGAACATATCATGTCATAAATAAAAACACGAAGTGGAAATTTAGCAAAGTAGCAAAAAACAGTGATGGTCAAGGAAACATCTAGCATGATGACCATTGATGACATGGTATAATCCATCATCAGCGAGTCTCATTGTGTTGCAGTTGCTATGCAATGTAATATAAATTGAGTAAATTTAAAAAAGAACTCTCGTGGTAATATTGTCTTCTCAATAAATAAATAGTCCCTCAACATTATCATTCTAAAAGAATTCCCCCATTTCTATCTTAGCTGCCTGTGGGTTTTGAATTTTCAGGTGCCCTAAAGATATGAACGTAAAATCTTTATGAAGTACTCATACTGACTGCATTGTAATTTCAGGGAAATTGGAAGCCAATCTAAAGCTATAAGTTATAAGGCAAAGTAGGGACTAATTTGTGGTATGGGCAAAGCAAAATTTGGCCAAAGTTGACAAAAGGCAGAGCTTTTGTGGTCCATCTTTGTCAATCTCCCTCAGGTACCACTAGATACAGCTATGGCAAAAGGCATCTGTGTTAGAGTACAACAGAAGGAAGCTGACAATGGAACTACATCTACCAGAAATGCTTGCTGTGCCCATTATGGCTGTCACCTTTTTTTTGTACAAAAATACCAGCCATGGTAATTTGCATAATTATTTATATGTGTGATGTCAATGGGCGTGATGTCACCATATGTAACATCACAATAAGTGTTTGTATTTGCCTGTAGGATTTATGCACATATACACATGCACTGCCACATACTGACACACACACACACACACACACACACACACACACACAAATGGAGTGGCAAAACTAGCAAATTGTAATTTTGTTTAACAATCATTTGGTAGCCCACTACACTTGGACATCACTGCACCAATGCTGTGTAATCCCAGACATTAAAATATACTTGCAATAATTAATCACTGGTACCCAATTGAAAATAATCCCCTCTCTATATGGAGTCCACATGATGATTAACTAGCCTTCACCAGACATTGAATGCATAACCAAATGCATCTGCTGGGATCAAATACTGTGAGTTACCCAGAGCACATCTCACAGATTAAATTGTATCACAAACAGCCTGATTCCCTCTAATTAACATTTAAACCCAATAAAACCCATGGCAGGCTGAGCCTGAGTACAGGACTATGACACAGACATACATAAGAAAGGATCAGAATGTTGGTCAAGCTATGATTTGCTATTATGATAACAGTGATACCTGCAGTATATGTTACAATACTATCACAGTTATGTCCTTATTACCAATCTCCTCCTCCCTGGTCCTGACCTGCTACACTTCACACAGCAGCTCCTTCTCTTATTATTGGCCGGTGTTCGGGGTTGCTTGGAAAACAGCATCAGAGTAGACAACCGGCATTGCGAATACAGCCAAGGCGTTCAAGAGTCAGGTAGGGGAGCTGGAAGCATGGGAAACAGTAGGGATCAATCACACAGACAGCTGGGCTGCTTTATAAACAGAAAACACCCTGCTTGTTGTTGCTAGCAAAAAATACTTGCAATTGTATTGCCGATATTAATGATATACCGGTACCGGCTGGACAGCTTCAGATACCGGCTTTGTCAGTAACATACCAGCCGGGTATCAACCCTACTGTCCATAAATTATTGCCGTCACCAACCCTATAGAAAATGAGGCTAGCACAATTGGCTAAGTCAAGTAGTAATTTGTTGCAGGTTCACTGCAGAAGATGCCAAAACTAGGGTTTTGCAGAAAATAAAGATATTTTAAATGAAAGCATCTTTATTTTTAATTAATTGCTTTTGCATATCTATATAATGACTTGTGAAGAAAGAATAGGTCCATATCCACCTGGAGCTTCCTTTCTAATGAAAAAACTAAAATATGAATGTGGCATTGAACCAGCTACATTTTCTTCGACTTTGATGCATCCATCACTAAGGCCAAGGAGATTTGATACAGACACATGTTGTAGCAGGCACCAGTATATCAACATTACAGATCAGAGTAGAGATTTATACCATTTATACAGGTAGCGCCAGGAAAAATACTCCAAACACAATAGTATATAACAATAAGAAAAATAAAATCAATAAGAGCAATAAAAAACCCACAGGATATAAAAAGAGTCCACAATAAAACTTAAAAGAATAAAAAATACCATATGGTACGGCACAGACTCAAAGGGGGCAACAGATCCTCTAGTCCTGTTGTGGGAATTTCTTGATAGCTTCGCTTAATAGCAGAATATGAAAAGGAAGCAAAAACAGAGGCAAACCAATAGTGCCATATTGTAGTACGTGGTAGGACAAACAACACTTAGATAAGATGTCAACTCACATATGGTAGAGCTATAACCATCTCTAGGTAAAACAGCATGCAGTGGATACAATCCCCAGGGTATCCCTCTGGTTTTGGTACACAGTAAAATAATGGTAACTCACAACTGGATAACGATGAGGTAGGTCATATGGAATGACAAAAAGGCAGCAAATAGTGCTCTCTATATAGATAGTAAGTATCAATAAGGTAAATAAAAATATACTTACAATAGAGTGAGCAGACTAACCGCTCTATGGATCAAGCCTGGGTGGTATAATCCCCACCAAGGATTTCTTTGGTTGATTTTACACAATAGGTAATGGGTCCAGATGTCAGATAAAAGAATAAAAATAAATAATAATTTATTATTATAAAAGCATAAAAAAGCATAAAAACCACAATTTTACCATCAGTCTACTGTGTACCAAAACCAGAGGGATATCCTGCAAGTGGGGATTGTATACCACTGCATGCTGTTTTACCTAGAGCTGGTTATAGCTCTACCATATGTGAGTTGACATCTTATCTAAGTGTTGTTTGCCCTACCACGTACTACCATATTGCACTATTGGTTTGCCTCTGTTTTTTCTTCCTTTTCATATACTGCTATTAAGCTAAGCTACCATGAAAGTCCCATAGCAGGACTAGAAGATCTATTGCCACCTTTGAGACTGTGCCGCACCATTTGGTATTTTATAGTCTTTCAAGTTTTATTTTGGACTCTTTTTATATCCTGTGGGTTTTTTATTGCTCTTATTGCTTTTATGGCTCTTATTATTATATACTATTGTGTTTGGAGTATTTTTCTTGGTGCTACATGTTTATTGTTGTTTGACCTGTTCTGGTTTTATGGGGGTTGGAGGGATTTCCCTATTATCAGGTGTGCTGCCTCCCACCCTAGTGTTCTTAGTTTCTTTAGCGCTGCTCTATTCCTTGTTCAGTTTTGTATCTTTTTTGATACAGAACATGAACCTGGTGAATAAATGAATGGCTAAATCTTTAGATTTAATAGCAGAAAGTAGAAACAAAGAGCTTTATATAAAGCTTATGATTATCAGATAAACCACAGGTGCGTTAGTTGGGCTAAGGATATAATGGAAACTAATTAGCCACCTTGTTCTTATTAGTCAAATGAGAATCCTACCGATCACAGCTATTTTACACTGTTCTCTAGGGCCAATCTGTTTCCAGAGCATTGCTTTCTCTAATTAACCAAACAAGATAATATATCACTAAGGAAAAGCAATGGAAATGCGGGGTTGATTTTGGATTCCCTGAGTCAGATAAAAATAGGAAGAAAGGTTCAAACAGAGCAATTTGTGGGCTCCTGCAGGTTACAATCTAATTTCTTGTCTACTGTTTGCAGACTGCAGAAAAAGCCTGGTGTTAGTGGTCACTTCCTCAAAATCATCCTCTACAAGTGTTTATGTTTATATGTCTATAGAAAGAGTGAATGTGACAGTTATTATACTAAGGGGTCTGCTCACAAGACATGAATATTTGACTTTTTAATAACATTTAATTTAACAAACCTTGAATCAGCTGGATTAAGATCAGTTTCATCTTGGTCCAAATCAGAGTTATTTACTGACAGCTAAATCAAAAGTAGAAATGCCCCAGTTGCTCTATGTTGATATTAGCAACTTGCCTAGTGAGGGCCTTTACACACTGCTTCTACTAAAGGAGGTACTGGAACACAACACAACACACAGCTTATTTTACTACTTGGCTTATAAAATCATTTTACTCTGTAGTAATAACTTAAATATGTCTCATCACAGCCACCCTATTTTAAATAGTAGAGTAGTGTTCCCCACTGTTGTTTCCAAAAGGAGGCAAGAGACAGTCATTAGGAGAGCCACATTTACTGTAAATCCTTGTGGGATACTTGCCCTTATCCCCTGGTATCCCTCGTCTTTAATCCCCCTTACCATACTTGTATCCCTTGCTTATATCCCCTTGGTATCCAACACCCAATATCCTCCCTTACTTTATGTCTTCTATCTATGTTCCCCTTGTACCACTACCTCCCCATATTCTTTGCATCATTTACCACCACCATGCTGCTTTTCTACCTCCGAGTCTATCGTTCTATCTCTGTTGTGTGTGCCTCCTCCTTAACTTCCCTAATCCATCTCACCTAACCTCATTGTAGCTCATGGGTCAGAGAGAGAAAAGCAATGCCATCTCCTCTCTTTTAACTCAGCATATTCAGCCTACACTGTAAGTGGTGAGAGGGTGGGCTATGATGTTAAGTTTCCTTTCACTCATCGAGGAAATGGAACAACTTATCTGCAATGCTTGGAGAAGGGTGCTACATCTTCACTCGGCTATCACCCAGGGTAGAACACACTCTTCATTAATGTGCATCGGTTGTCTAATTTAGCTTATTGCTCAGCAAGCTGCAGTGAGGGACAATGCTTTAGAGCAGGGATAGCCAACCTTCAGCACTCCAAAGGATATGGACTTCCTCTCCCATAATGCAGTCATAATGTTTGCAAAGTATCAGGGGAGACATAGTCCACAAAATCTAGAGCAGTGCTTTTTAACCTTTTCTCATCCAAGGCCCACCACAGCTCTTCCCAGAATTCCATGGGACACCACAAACAAAATATATATATAACAAGTAGGGTGGGAGAGAGGATAGAAAAGGGGGGGGAGGAGGTGTCAAAGAATAGGAGCTAAATAAGTAGAGGAGAGAGGCTCCAAAAGATAGAAAAAGTGAGGGAACAGACTATAGGTAGGACAGACTACAGGAATCATTAAGATATGCCGCCAAACAAACTGGGATGTAGGTTATAATATGACCTAACCTCCTGAACCAAACAAGGCAACCAGGGGGAGAGTGGGAGGTGTCATGAGTCGTACTGCCCACACAGCACTTTACAAAGGGTTGCAGTGACCCCACAGCACTTGCCACAGGGTCTCCATGTACCAGCACACTTGCTTCTTCTTCTTGAGCGGGTGGCGGCACATCCGGCACTGCTCTCAGCAACCACGCGGCAAAGACAGTGCTGTGGCACAATGGTTGCAGAGCACTGATCTAGAGTGACAAAGTTTACCTACCCCTGCTTTATGGTCAAACCAGCCTTTGAAAACAGCATGTATTCTTGATGACACAGTTTTAAGAAACACTCTGAGCAGCATGCTGTAGTGGTTGTGGTACCAGGTGTTCCCTGGCTCCCATCCAGCGTAAGTCGTCAAACCATTTAGGAATGGTTACTAGGGTTCTCCTGGGCATTACTCCACGCCTCCTCTTTTCCAGAATGAGAGCCAGTCCTGCATTTGCTGCACAATTAGTATAAGACTGGCCACACACTATTAACTCTGTATAAACCATTTAAAGGTGTATTATCTCCATTTGCATTAATGGATTAAAAATTGACTTCTTTTGTCTGTCAGGTGGTTTAATGAACGTTTAATTGTGAAGTCAGACAGATTGTCATATTTTGTGTTGTTCTAGGCCTGGCGCTAAGCTTTAAATAATACACAGAGGTAATATCATCAACAGCTGGGGTTTTTTTTTTTGTCCAGTGATGATGTTTAATCCAAATCCAGCATGTTTAACAATGTAATGCAAGGAATAGCGGAAATTACATCTCCTTCAATTCTCTGAAAGATCAGCAATGTTATTTTATTTTGATAGTAATCCATTAAACAAAATCAAAGTAAAAAGGGAACTTGAAGTTGACAGTAGAACAAGCTGAACTATTTTAGTATTCTGAAGGTGTATTCCATAATAGATGGAGTGCAACTCCCAGAAAGTGATAATATCCATCTAGTTCTGTATTTCTGGAGCAAAAATGGGACAACTGAAGGAAGGCATGGGTGTGAGTTTCTGGAAGATGCCTTTAATATAATTTCACTTCGTTTGCTGATTTTTCTGCAAAGGCAAAGCCAAATGCAAATATCAGGTAGAGAAAGCGGAAAGCAGTGTATGTCTAAATTAGATATACAAAAACAATGCCCCATCAGTTAAAATGTTAAAGGATTACTTCAAACGCAAAGCACTTCAGCTTGCCGTATGGAGCGTGCCTTTCATTTCTAATCTATATAAGTGTCAATTTCAATATAAATTACTGAACTAACAGAAGCAAGCGGCAGGCATGCTTGGCGAGAGCGTGCCTTCCAATACTTCTCAACAGCGTGAATAAAAGCTTGTGTGCACAACTTGACCACAGAGACTTCTCAATGAGGTCTTAAAGACTGCGTGAAGGAAAAGAAGCCAAAAATAATATGCATGTTTTCTTTGTGGGTATATCTACTAAAATACATAGAAACAGCAAAAAGATAACACTCTCAGGACTTGCAAAGTAAAATAAAACTTAACTTTTAATGTCCGAGGTAAAAGATTGACGTTTCAGTTTGTCTTGCAAACTTTCATCAGGAAATATATATTTTACATTGGAGTGTTCTTTTAACATACTTTCTATCCTTTCCATCTCCAACCCTCTGTAACAGCTTTACTGCTTCTTCTTCAATTGTGTCATATAACAAAGATCTCACTTTATTGTAACCTTGCAATCTACTTTCCCTATGTATGTAATACATTTTATCTTTTGTGTAATTATACCCTACTCTCCTTTGATTGTAAGCTTCTTTGAACACGGCCCTCAACACTTTCTTTTCCCATATGTCTAGCTTGTCTTGTTGGAACTACTTGTTTGCTAGATTATCTGTTGTATAGTGCGGTGGCATATGTAGGTGCTTTATAAATAATAATAATTATGATATGAATAAGGACAATTTTATATCCTAAATGGCCACATGGTGGCAGCAATAGCTGGAACATGTCAAAAAAAGACTGCATAAGATTTCTATAAAAGAGGATATTTCTTTTCCACTGACATAAGAAGGCAGGATGGAGAATATTTATGTTTTTTTCGGGTCCAATTAATGCTGCTAACACATATTTGACTCTTTATACAGCTTCAATGGTTTTGTTGAACGGGAAGTACATGAGTTGCGGTCCTCTTGTTGAGTCTGAGGGAGAAACCCTTGACCTTTTACATCTCCACTGTAGCTGAACCTGGAGGAATTATATGATAATAAGGATGTGCAGTGGGGAGGGAACTGGAATGAAAGATCCATGGAATTGTGAGCACAGATCTTATTGTCCCCCTGTAAAACCACCCCTTACTTTGAGGCCTGGTTTCAGCTGGACTCCATATGTTTCATGTCACTGTTGCTCAATGGTATTGTGTACTTAATACCACTAAATGTCATCTAACTGATTAAGCAACAACACCTTTTAGAGTGTGATGGTTAGCTTAAACGTTTTTTTTCTCCTTACTGTTTCTCCTTTTAATCATTCTTCTCCTTGTTCACTGATACAATAGCCGCCATCTTTTTAAAATTTATTTATATATCTGCCAGCCACATATTGTCTCCTTTGATCCCCCAACCAACCCCATCTCTATTATTTCACTTTCCTCCCACATCTCTAGGTAAGAAACATGTTGTCTCCACCTGTATAGTAGAGATTGCAGTCCAATTCCATTCCTTAAACAGAGGGAGAAGGATGATGTGACACCAGGGGTCATGGGGTCATGCACATAATAGCAGGTCAGGTGTGTTGAAGGTAGACCACATATGAAGTTGTGCGTGGGCTGTTTGAGGTAACCCAGCTGTTCACTGAACTGGTACTACATGCTATTCACTACTTGGACCATTGGGAGCAGACATGCCATCAGTATGATTTCTATAAACAAAATGTGTGGCACAATAAGTGGATGTCATCTTCCTATCACTAAGACACCCGCTCATCCAAATGCCCCTGGGTCCAATAGACTTTCTAAGACTCCCCAGCTGTGATTAGCACACATTTAATGCTGTATTCATTACATTATTATATAATGCATCATTTTCAACGGTAATATTTGTCTATTTTATTTATTTAAATAATCCAAAGATTGATCTGTTTGACCAGGAATGTCAATCTGTTTTGTTTTTTTCTTTACGAGTCACAGAATTCTCAGCCAGCCAGTGACTGGGAAATGTATCCAAAAACAGTTTCAGTGCCAAGATTGGACAGTAAACCATCTGCTTTAGATGGAAACTCATTTAACCAATCCCTTCATCATCTCTGCAGGCCATCACTTTTTTATTTTAGTAATAATTGTTTTACCATTAATCCAAAACTCAAAAAAAGCTAGCAGCACATCTCTTAAACTGTTACCATAGTAATAGTTTAGCAAAGCACATTTTACTGTCTAAGAGGAACATTGCCTGAACAAAGCCATCAGAATTATCAGAAAACACACCTTGTTGAGCAGCATTTTTGTTTCAGATTCAGAGTTTGTTTTCAGATTAAGTTCATGATAAATAAGATTTTATTTGAATTCATTTTAGTTTTTCCGCTGTGTGCCATTACTTGCTTTGACGCCTGGACATGCAAATATTCCAAAAATGCGATCCTTCGTTTTCTTGCCATTTATAAGGCGCCTATAAACCCAGAGGCAGGGGAGGGCTATTGTTAAGAAAACTTCACCTTGAGTACCCTCTGGCAAAATTAAAATGTGGGCCCTTGGATCCAGGATGGATTCACAAGGAGTAAAAAGGTGGTCAGACTCAATTCTTTTATTTGTAGTACAGTTAAAGCATAGTCTCAAGTCTCTGCAGTCCTGTCTCCAGCAAACCCCTGTTTTATGTATTATATACATAATAAATGACAATATTCAAAAACATAAGGGCACACATTTACATCGAGTGAGCTCTCACTAAACCAGGAAGTGGCTCAGCTGACCTGGATGGTTCCATTTTGTTTAATTTAAAACATAAGTTTAACTTACAGGGTTTCAAAGTCAGGGGTCCTTCTTGCTCAATAAAGTATCATTGTGCAACTACCTACTGTACCTTTGTAGGACTAAAATATTTAATTATCTGTCCCTCTTTTGTAACGTAATGTCCCTCTTTTCTAAGAGCTACAAGTTCTGGAAGTTTACTTGTGTACAACTCATCTCCCTGGCGATTGTACTGACAATAATGAGTCTCTGAACTACAGTGAAAGTCTTTACTTTGTGAAAAGAAATTACTTTAGTTTTGTTCAAAAATACCTTTTCTGTTCCATAAATATTTAATGAATAAATGTTTTATTCAATAGTGTAATTTCCACACAAGTGATCTCTCCCCTTTAAGCATCTGAAAACAAATCTTGGGCTTCCACTAAATTTGATTAACCCTGATTTTCAACTTGAATCTGACACATTTGGCGACAAATGCTAAATTTCATGGAGAAGTTGAACTCAGAATTCCCAATCAAATCACATGACATTGAAAGGAACTCAGCACTGAGTTTAATAAATCAAAATAATGTTTTCCACGATCTTCATCCTCACTAATTGGAGTTGCACTGAAACTAATCTGTTTTTAAGCTATTTGATGTGTTAGCTAAAACTGTAAAGCCAGGGAGTGCATCGATTTATGAGCTTTAATAATAGATACAATCTATCCACCCTGCCGACATGAATGCAATATTTGGCAACAGTTACAAATGAAAAAAGGGATTACCGTAAACGAAGGCCTCTTAGGGTTAATGTGATTTGCTAGATTGTAAACTCATGGGCAGGGTCTTCTGTTCCGTTTGTATCAGTATATGTTCATTATTTGTATTCTCACTTATGTCCAGTGCTGTGCAATATGTTGACGCTATATAAATACCAAAAAAAAATCATAATAAAATGTGATGAATAAAATTAGATAGAAGCTTAGAATGTCTCGTATACTGCATCCTAATAAATCCTTTCTTTTCTATCTTGCAGCATGGAACATGAAGCTGCACAGCTGGAGAAGCAACATGTCCACAGCGTCTACGAGAGCACCGCTCCTTACTTTAATGAAGTGCAAAGTAAGGCTTGGCCCAAGGTCCGTCAATTCCTTTTGGAGCAAGAGCCTGGCAGTCTCATTGTGGATATAGGTATGATATATTAATTCTGAATGATTGTAACGTTCCCTGCTTGCTGTATGTCTGGAAGGATATTAGAACTCTTTGAACTTTGAGCTACATGTGGATGAACAATGATTTTAAATGCTAGTTTGAAATTCAAAGTGTAGAAGATAAAAACAGTAATCTTACTATACGGCAGCTAATGTTTCAGATTTAGCTTTTAACCTTTTCATTGGTGTGCGCAAGTAGTGTTAAAAGTGTGCTGAAACATCGTAAAGCTCAGACAAGTTGTCCTAATCTTCCACGTATGTGGCTATCTTACTTTTGAGTCATTTGGGGTTAATTTGTTTTTTTTTTTGGTTGAAGAAAATCATCATGGCAGTTAGTCACAGAGCTGATGACCACTACAGAAACTATGTTTTTTCTGTGTCTCATATTTTGAAAGATTGCTTTTCCAACTATAACATAATTGTTAAAGCAGATGTGTCAGCTTCGGAGGTCTTTGCATATTTACAAAAAAATACCAAAACAGACAGATCCGATGTGGGTCTGGTTGCCACCAGGTGCTGGGGAGGGGTGATTTGTTAACCTCTGGATGTCCCTCATGGCTGCAACCATCTTCATAGCACAGGTCTCTTTGGCTCCTGCCGCTTTAGCATGCGCAAGAGTACAACACTAAGGTCTAGGCAGAGCCTAATTCTCACAGTCATCAATGGTCACAGCTGCTGGGATTGGACAAAGATTAACAGTGGACGTTCTCTTTTTGTCAAACTCAAGCTTTACCATAGGACAAAATAGTTCCTACTTAGTCTTATGATTACTTTGGGTTGTGTTGGAATTTCAGTGAAAATCCAACACAGCCTTAAAGGGACACTATAGGCACCCAAACACAGCCTTAAAGGGACACTATAGGCACCCAAACCACTTCAGCTCATTAAAGTGGTGGTGTCCCTATTGCACTTAGTGCTGCAATGTTAAACATCCACTGGAGGTGCTTCCTGCATCCAAATGGACCTTTGGTCATAGTTTCTGATGCTGGATGTCCTCACGCTCTGCATGAGGTCATCCAGCGTCAGATTTTTCCCTATAGGATTTCAGTGTTTTCCTATGGGGACGTCTAAAACTCTACTGTTTCAATTAGATTTCAAACAGCAGAGCATTTTGCTGTGCACGAACAGTAGCCTTCCAGTGCTTTCCTATGATGAACAAAGAGGCAGAGTGGCACACCAGAGACCAGCACTGCGCAGGAGAAACAGCGAGTGAACTCACTTTTTTTAACCCTTGCAGCACTGGCCCAGTCACCCAAAAGGCGACTAAGACACTATAGTGTTAGGACACTATAGTGATTCTTTAATTGAAATATGCTCAGTAAACTTTACATTTGTTTAATCACAAAGCTTGTCCTTTATGATTGAGAATTAATTTAGTTTTTTTATATAATAATAAAAAAATAAAAATAATAAAAAATGATATTCAGCCCATATAAATACCAATAGGATGGATGTTTGACCATTTTCAAGAGCCTCTTTTTGTCACATCTACTATATGTGACAGAAATAGCATTTATGTTCGAAATAATGTCAAACCAGGCATACGTATAATGTTTAAATGTTTAAAACTCTTCATCCCACCAATATTTATGTAAAGGATGAATGAATGAATAAAAAAACAAATTTTCTAAATTTATATTGGCTTGATTTATTTTTCTAGCAACTTATACATAAAATTGCAGTTTTATATTACATTTATTTGCTGTGCATCCGTTTTTTCAAAGAAATGTTATGGTGTTATTGAGGACATCGTTGTCCCTTTTATTAAGTGTAATATAGCTAAACCATGTCTCAGAGAAGTAATTATTCTCCTACTCAATGGTATAGTTCATCTGTTAACGAAGGATTATCTGTGTAATTGGGTTAACCTTCTCCACCTCTTGTAATATCCTGTAAATGTTTGCTTGGATCATTTCTATGCTTGAAGTACTAACAATATAATAAATATACCTAGTGTACTTTTTTTTTTATATATATATAACTTCTGTCCATAAAGCAAAATCATTTTTCTTCTTGCAGGTTGTGGCACTGGGAAATACCTCGATGTGAATAGTGAGATATACAATTTAGGCTGTGATTACTGTAAGCCTCTAGTGGACATTGCAAAGAATAACAAAGTTGAAGTCATGGTGTGTGATAACCTCAATTTACCCTTTAGAGACAAATGCTTTGACACAGCGATCTCTATCGGAGGTAAGGTGTACCCACCTAATCATTACAATACAAGATTCTTTTAATTGACCCCGTAGTTAAATGAAAAGTATTGGTAAAATACAAAATGTATAAAAAGTGTCATAATATGTGATGTACAACGCCTAATAACAGTAAATGTTATCTAATTTAGGTGAATGGGAACAAGAAATGATGAGGGTCATGTTGGATTTAGCTTAAATGTAACCCTTGAGAATGAAGGCTTAATATTAGATACATAGAATACTGTAGTTTTGTCATCACCAGTAGGAAATCAAATGTAGGAAAAGTGATGCTTTACCTTTAATTACCCTTACATTTAAAAAGATATTTCTGAAAATTCTAAAAGTGTTTTCAGATTAATATATCAGCTTTATGTCTATATTATAAAAATACAATATAAAATCTGTAGGGTTACATTATTTCTGCATCTTGTGCTTAAATTTTTACTTAGAACACAAGACAGAGTAAATAGCTGCTAATGTAGTCGTTGAATTGAAGTGGTTAATATTTTTCCTGTGTGTCATATTGAAAATCTCATTTTAGCAGCTGTTCTCTCTGTATCTGGGGCAGTTTTAAATAGCATCCTTGCTCTAATAAAAAAAAATAACAACCTGAACTCTGTTCACTTCTCTTCCTAGTGATTCATCATTTTTCCACTAAGCAAAGAAGAATCCGAGCAATAAAAGAGATGGCAAGAATTTTGCTTCCAGGAGGTCAAATTATGCTCTATGTTTGGGCAATGGAACAAAAGAGCCGCAGGTTTGAAAAGCAGGATGTATTTGTACCCTGGAACAAAGCATTGCTGTCTCGACAACCCTCTGAAACCAACCAGTCTGAAAATAAAATGAACACTACTTCTAAAATGAAACTTCATGATGTGGCCCCAAAGCAAATGGATGTTTCTGAAACAATTAATGTAAGTAGCTTTAGGCCAACCCATCTTTCTAAGCAATCCAACAATGCAAAAAGTTGCATACCAGCAGAAACATGCTGCCTAAAGTTTCCTAATGATGAAAACAGACTGTATAGTTCTATAGGACGTTCTCTCCGTTCATGGTTTATCTCTCGTTCCCTTGATGAATCCACATTGAGAAGGCAAATTGATAAAATGAAGTGTCTTAGCCCCGTCAGTGGGTGGACAAGTGGCACCATATCTGTTCAGCCTTCAAGGCACTGTAGCCTCGACCTTGGTCATCAGAGATTGTTATTAAAAGAGCACAATGTAGACGATGATGATGTATTTCTGAAAAATGAATCACAAGGAAAATCTGAGTGGGTGATAGCCTTAAACAATAAGCAACATGAAAATGGAAGAACGTGTGGACTTGTTCCAGACGGTGCAGAACAGACTCCGTTTTCTGATGAAGCTAGGTACTGCACTTGTATATGCAACAATGAAAAAGACAACACAAAACAAAACAAAGTATTAAAAAGAACTTCGACTACAGAGTCAAATGAATCTGTTTTAGATGAAACTGTAGCAGCTAATGATCAGGAAACGTATAATTTTGACTCAGAAGCATACATGAGATATTATCACGTATTTCGTGAAGGGGAACTCAGCAACCTTATAGAAACGGACGTGCCAGAGCTTCGAGTTATTAGTTCATGTTTCGACCATGGAAATTGGTGCATAATTGCACAAAAGAATTAATTCCTTTTCCTCCCTCGTGTTTAATGTGTTGTAACTTGAAAAGCAAAAAGTACCTCGAGGTAACAAATAAGAAATGCAATACCTTTGTTTAAAAGTGTATATTTATTTTTTTATTTATGAAGAGATTGACATATAGTTTTTGTTATTTATTTAAAATGTGTTACATTGGGTTCTGTGTATAAACTTGACAGTACTTGACAAAAAAAAAAAAAGAAACTGGAATATTGCTGTATGAGGAAGAGTAGGATAACATGGTTACACACAGCTTTGTTATGCAAAAAAAGGACATGGATTCCTTGTCGCAACATAAAACAAATACTTATATTGAAGGAACAGGTTGATATAACCTGTGATTTATATTTTCTTTTACGTCTAGATTTAAAGGATGAGTTTTTTATTGCAGTTTGTTTATGATACTTACTATATTTTTTAACAGAAATTAAGAATCATAGCAATACTATTTGCCATCTTATGATCGTATATCTAAAACATGGATATAGTGCTTTTGGGATAGTCAATTGGGATAGAACAGTTTTAGTTATATCAACAGCCGTTCAAGACCTTTATTGTCTGACAGGTTTAGTAGGGGAGTGTAATATTTGTTCCTCCTTTGTATATAAATATATTGGCAATTATCTATAAATAGTGTTTTGTTCGGAAAAGTGCTTCAAACTACTAAAAGTGGAGCAATCACCATGGAAACCAGTGAAACCAGCAAGCACATTCCATTGGCGATTCCTCTTATTTTTACATCTTTGCAGCATTTTTAAGAACACAACACTTTTTACATGTAACCCCTATGTACTTTTCCTGATAGATCTTGCTGCTATAACATACCAGGTAAACCTTTTTTTACAGGTTTTTTTTTATTCCACGGTATGTGAGAGAGAATGCTTTAGATATTGCAGTCCTTCTGCACCTCACAGGTAACACCACTGAGGGGCACTGTCAGCTTCTGAAGGACATAGTGGAACTCTATCATATCTATGTACAGTGTTTTCTGTACAGTGTTTTCATGGTCTCCATGACACATATCTAAATGTCGCATTTCCCTTTTTATTCATGATTTTAAACCTTTCTGATATTTCTCTCATCATTTCCGTTTTGCTTTCTTCATATTTAGGTTGTATTCAGTAAAACACAGAATTGTAATTAAATTAAAATTGATTTGCAAAAAATTGGGAAAGTAGCTGATTTGTAACCCTCCACCCAACTGCAAGGCAGCTATATTGTAAAATCTTGAGTATTTTAGCCCAAATATTTCAAAATGGTTTTCAATTCACAGAAATGTTGTGAATTTAACCAGTTTGTGTTTTCCATACTAAATTCCTCTCTACCCACACCCCTCATGAATAACCACATTCTATCCTGTTCATTTCAACCTTCATTTGTATCACATATATCTGCTGCCCTCAATATATCACCCAATCTGTATAAGTTTATACTTTATGGGGCTTATTTATCAAACAGATTTATTTACTAAAGTGAAAATTCAAAGTAAATTGAAAGTGAATTTCCAATTTAGGGTCAAAAGAGTCACGTTTAATTCTCACTTCTGTGAATGAACCTGAAATTCTTCTGAAGAGTGATGGGAAAATTATTTTAATCATATTTATTAAAATGTTCTGCAAATAATTAAAAAAAGGAACGTTTTTTAACTACTAAATTCCGTCAGTTTTCACAGACATTTTCGTTTCAAAAGACCGACAAAAAAAAGGCAAGCGAAAAGCAGGAAAAAGAACATTTGTTAAACGATTAATAAATCCATTGAAATGCTGAAAATGGTGTACATTCAAAAATGGTGTGCATTCAAAAATGGTGTGCATTCAAAAAATGGTGTACATTGAAAAGAAGCTTCAGATGAAAGCTTGTGTTGCTGAAAATGGTGTACATTTATAAATGGTGTACATTCAAAAGAAGCTTCAGATGAAAAAAAGTGTACTTTGATAAATCTCCCCCTACATGACAGCTTACCTTCCACATCGGCCTCTCTTCCTTTTCTCCGTACACGTCCATTACATTGTAACTATCAATCTTGGAGGTTTGGAGTAGCCTCTGAGGATTTTTTGTGATGACTGTGCTTTGCCATTACTAAACTGATCGTTTGACGACGTAGACCTGATTTGTACGCAGAGCAGGATTAAAACAGGGAGGGGAGCACAATTTATAAAATGGTCACTAACAGAAGAGTCTGCCAATCTACATTCAGTATCTCTGGCATGTGTGGTTCTTGTTCTTAAAGCTTGGTGTTTTAGTTCCATTGAAGGTCAGGTAAGGAACCTATATGAGCAGGTTTAGATAAAGATAAAGATATATTTATTTTGGACAGGCCTTTGGGGTACAACTGATAAGTTCTGTTACAATCCATAAACTTGAAAGCCCTACATAACCAAGTCTAAAAAATTAACGTTAATACAGAAATATACCTTAATGAACAAGTCCACACTGAAATTTGTGAAGAAAAATCATTGTTTAGCAGATATACCGCCAATGAACACATGCATGCATTTTTAATACATGTATTCCTTGGTGTATATTTTAAAAGAGCTTGGCAAAGCTACAATTCATATAAACTGCAAGCTTTGCAAATCCTGCCCTTTGTCCCGTAAGAGACTATCAGTCTCTTCAGAGGAAATAAGCACCATTGAGAAACATCAGAATCTGTGCGTGCATGCGCGCCTCTGCTCGTGCACATGCATCTAGTCTGAGATCAGCAGAGGCACAGGAGTTGCTGAAGACACTGATCTGTGGGGAAGAAGGCAGGCACGCTCAAGTATACTCAACTAGAACGTGCCTGCCAATACCGTTAACTAAGCGGAGCTAATGGAGGGAGGATGCAAACATCCCTGGCAGTTTGATTGACAGCTAAGAGGATCCATAATTTATTTAGTAAAGTGCCACTTTTTAAAAAAAAAATGGGATTAAAACAGGATACTCCTCATTCATAAAACACTTTTGCAAGCTGAAGTAATTTGAGTGTGGAATGGTCCTTTAACAGTATTTTTATTAGAACTTAAGTTATAGAGGTCTGTTCACTAAACAGTGAATTGTGGTGACTTGAGAACCACCAGTGAACCTGATTAGGAATTCTTTTGCAGCAATGCTATGTTAACTAATATTTTGCAAGATGGTTGCCAAGTCACCAAATACATCCTGCAGTACTCCAAGTATAATATGAATCCTACTGTGGATGCATTTGTTTACCCTATCAAGGTATATACTTAAAGCAGAACTGCCAATTCTACTTTAAATGCTATTGAAGGGTTTTCAATGAGAGTAGGGCCACACGTGCTTAGGCGTCTGTAGGAATTGCCAAAGGAGTACATGAGAGCTTAAGAATTCCTTTTATAGTTCTATACGTGTGCGTGCTCCCATGTGTTCTGTTCCATGGACGTTGAATTTGTTCGAATGGAATGTGACGTATCAGTGAGGCTTATAATATCAACTAAAAAAAATAAGAGAGTTAAGAAACAACCAAATTAGCTCAACCCTGAGCAAATGTTTAGTTATCTATTGCACTGTACAGAATTTAAATGTCACAGTTTAATATTGTTTAATGACAGTCCATACTTTGATGACAAGCAATACAATTATAGGATGCCAATGATCCCTAGTGAAATGTCTGTAATAATGTACAGTTATTTTAGCTTCCAAAGGAAGGATTCAGACATTTTACTTGGCTGACCTATCAAAGTACACTTATACGTAGACAAGAGTTTAAAAAGTATAGAAGCAAGTTGTGCACTATACATTGGTGTAGTTCAGTTTGTCTCAGCTCTCTCCATTAAACTAAACTCAAAATACCACAGTCTTCTAATTGGCTGAATATCAATTGTTCTTTTCTACATCTCCAATTTAATATTATTTATACCAGATCAGCTCTGCTTGGCTCTGAAACAGAATTGTTATAAACTCCAAATTTTATGTTATATCTAAATAGAGAAGTTGGGCACATTGATCTGAGGATGCAGATTCTGGTACCGCACACTATACACTGTAACACTAACCAAGTGCACAAAACACCACTGTCACTGGACTTATATACGTCTCATTTCATTTAATGCAGGATAACAGAATCCTTTCAGTGGAATTTGATAATCCCATTGACACTCATACTGTTGATTATACAAACTGCTCTAAGGAAAATATTTGTTCAGATATTGTTACTGCATGAATACTAAACAATAAACTGTATAAATATTAAAGACTATTTTCTGTGTTTCATTTATTTTATAGATTTCATATAATATGATGTATATTCGTTAATGCACTGTCACAGCAAACCTTCAAAAAAGTGTACATGTTAGCTTTATAGATAGATAGATAGATAGAAATATATAGATAGATAGAAATAGATAGATAGATAGATAGAAATAGATAGATATATAGAAAGATAGATATTTTACATGGAAGCCAATCAAAATTCCATTTATATATTGTGCTAGCAGAATTGCTTGCAAATGTATAAATTGAGAGAAAAGCCAATGTAAAAGAATTAGCCCTACCCATTTGCCAGTCAACTCTTTGGCATAGTGAAGGAATAGATACAACTGCACAAAATGAAAATATATTCATGTATTATTACCCCATACCTTGTAATAATTTTCCCAAAACCCAAAGCTCCAGATAAAGAATGAACATTAATGCAAAAAAAAAAAAAAAGGAAATAAGTACAAAAAAGATAAAAATACAAACAAATCACAAGTCAGCAAACAGTGGCATTGGGGCAACTCACCGACCGCAAGTTAGATCATATAGCTTACGCATTTCAAACCACAGGGGGAGCAGTTACTTATGAGAGATTTGGACCTATTTAACAAAAATTTTGTTAAGGAGTTTTTGCAAATACAAAAAAAAGAGGCATAAGTGAAAACTATTCAAATGATATATATGATGTGTCACTCAAATGGCACCCAATATCAGCGCACCCCAAAACAACACCAAAAGGGTTTTCATTGGTAAAGGAAAGTGGAATCTTCTATTGATGTAGTGATTAAAACTAAACACTATCTTGGAAATTTGTATATTCTTTTTTTGAGGAAACCATCAACACAGCTGCTCTTATCACTCTCTAGGTTATCGTAGAACCTTATAAGACACCAAGTGCTTTATTGACCTGAGCCAGTCCACATGGCTCAGCATGTTGTGAGTGCATAAACTGTATATCACTTTTTACACATAGATTGTAAAACAGCTTTACACTATGTGATCTTTTTTTGGTCATTTAAATTCTACATTTCAATTTGAGTGCTATAAGTAATATAGTTTACTTATACCTTTTCACATTTATTTAGTTTTTGTTGCATTTTCACCTTTTATGTGTTGCGGTGTATATTGAGGGGTTTATAGCAATAGCCAATTATTTGGGAAATAATAGTCCTTGTTCACATTGACTAACACAAGGCCATTTTTTCTGGCCCCTGATTTTTTTATTTTCTTTCTTTTTTGTTTGTTTGTTTGTATGTATATTTCATTTTCTTTCTTGGTTTGTTGCCCATTACTTTATATCTGAATTTTGCCCTATTCTACCTTCCTATACCTAGGGAACTGCTTTTAGTATTATTTTTGGGTGCACTGGTAATGGGTGACATTTGAGTGATACGCCATACGTATCATTTGACTAGTTATTAGTGATGTCCCGAACTGTTCGCCGAACGGTTCGCCACGAACGGTTCGCCACTGACTCATCATTGAGTAACCTTTGACCCTGTACCTCACAGTCAGCAGACACATTCCAGCCAATCAGCAGCAGACCCTCCCTCCCAGACCCTCCCACCTCCTGGACAGCATCCATTTTACATTCATTGTGAAGCTGCATTCTTAGTGAGCTGTCCAAGAGGTGGGAGGGTCTGGGAGGAAGGGTCTGCTGCTGATTGGCTGGAATGTGTCTGCTGTGAGGTACAGGGTCAAAGTTTACTCAATGATGAGTCCGCGGCGAACCGTTCGTGGCGAACCGTTCGGCGAACAGTTCGGGACATCACTACTAGTTATTACTTATACTTTTTTTTTTTTAATTTATGCTTTATCTTGATTCAGTAATATTTGTGTGCATGCTCTTTGAGGGTATGAGGATGCTGATATTCATTTTTTTTTTTTTAAACATTTAAGGATTTTCTTGTATGGGGATAGAGAAACATTTTGTGGAATGAAGTTGGAATGAGATATCAGTTTCCACAATTAAATGGGGTGTAGCATGTGTCTTCTCCAGAAGGGGGAAATGCGAGGGCAATCCCAGCATATGTGCTTATTTGGTATTTTAGCAAACCAGAAGGCAGAAAAAAGGAATAAACATGAGTATTTAGTTGCAGTATTGTATACATGTTGCAACATTGTTATTGTAAATAACAAGTGACTGCATTCAGAATAAAATATGCTTAAAAACTATATTCGGCTGATGCCCCTAGCAAAATATGCTAAAATAAGAAATGACCCAAATCTTACCCCAAACAGGCAATTTAACATATTTGTGGACAGACGGATGACAAAAATGTGTTCTCCAGTCATGGGGGAAACATTCAGAGGTTTGTAATGTGTCTGTGCTTGTTCATCAGATGGACTGGAAAGACAATACAGCTGGTTATAGCATGTCTAGATGCACAATCACAGAGGCAAGCAATCTGTGCAGTTGCTGTTAACGATATTGTATTGTACAATAAATAATATACTTATTAGGTGTTTTTCTGATATGTTTATGTTCATTTAATGTAGGATTCTGAGGCCATACAGTAAGGGAAGAAAAGTATTTTATCCCCTGCTGATTTTGAACATTTGCCTACTGCAAAGAAATGATCAGTCTATAATTTTAATGGTGGGTGTATTTTAACAGTGAGAGAAAGAATAATAAAAAAAATCCAGAAAAACACACATCAAAAAAGCTATACATTGATTTGCGTGTCAATGAGTCAAATAAGTATTTGACCCCTTCGAATTAGTACTTGGTGGCAAAACCCTTGTTGGCAATCACAGAGGTCAGACGTTTCTTGTAGTTGGCCACCAGGTTTGCACACATCTCAGGAGGAATTTTGTCCCACTCCTCTTTGCAGATCCTCTCCAAGTCCTTAAGGTTTCGAGGCTGACGTTTGGCAACTTGAACCTTTAGCTCCCTCCACAGATTTTCTATGCGATTAAGGTCTAGAGACTGGCTACGCAACTCCAGAACCTAAATGTGCTTCTTCTTGAGCCACTTCTTGCTTGCCTTGGCTGTGTGTTTTGGGTCATTGTCATGCTGGAACACCAATCCACGATCCATTTTCCATGCCCTGGCTGAGGGAAGGAGGTTCTCACTCAAAATGTGATGGTACATGGCCTCGTCCATCGACCCTTTGATGCAGTGCAGTTGTCCTGTCCCCTTAGCAGAAAAATACCCCCAAAGCATAATGTTTGCACCCCTATGTTTGACCAAGAGGTGAGATCTTGTATAAATCTTGTATAGAGCACCAGACAGAGGGAGACTGACAGTTATTTTGTGTTTCTTCCATTTGCGAATAATCGCACCAACTGTTGTCAACTCCTCACCAAGGTGCTTGGTGATGGTCTTGTAGCTCATTCTAGCCTTGTGTAGGTCCCTGACATCCTTGGACAGCTCTTTGATCTTGGCCATGGTGGAGAGTTTGAAACCTGATTCATTGATTACTTCTGTGGACAGGTGTCTTTTAAACAGGTAATGAAGTGAGATTAGGAGCACTCCCTTTAAGAGAGTACTCCTAATCTCAGCTCATTACCTGTATAAAAGACACCTGGGAGCCAGAAATCTTGCTGATTGATAGGGGATAAAATACTTATTTTACTCATTGACCTGCAAATCAATTTATAACTTTTTTGACATGCATTTTTCTGGATTTTTGTTTTTCTGTCTCTCACTGTTAGAATACACCTACCATTAGAATTATAGACTGATCATTTCTTTGTCAGTGGACAAACATTCAATATCAGCAGGGGATCAAACACTTTTTCCCCTCACTATATACACTTCCATACTGCTAATGTAATTCAAGCACATGGTAACTGTGATAAAGTGACTTAAGGCTTATACCATTTAAGATAAAGTTATGTTTTGGTCAAAGTGGGACTTTATCTTCAGCCTTTCTCAGATCTGGGTACGACAAGATTTTAAAACCTCAGGTTTGTTACTGTGGAGTGAAATGGCCATGATACAGGTCTAAGGAAAAAGGAGAGAAATCCACCAATGTCAAAACTGTTAAAGGACCACTATAGTGCCAGCAAAACATACCCATTTTCCTGGCACTATAGTGCCCTGAGGGTGCCCCCACCCTCAGGGTCTCCCTCCCGCCCGGCTCTGGAAAGGGGAAAGGGGTAAAAATTTACCTTTTTCCAGCGCTGGGCGGGTAGCTCTCCTCCTTCGATCCTCCTTCTCTCCTCCCATGCGGCTGAATGCGCACGTGCGGCAAGAGCTGCGCGCGCATTCAGCCGGTCACATAGGAAAGCATTCATAATGCTTTCCTATGGACGCTGGCGTGCTCTCACTGTGAAAATCACAGTGAGAAACACGCAAGCGCCTCTAGTGGCTGTCAATGAGACAGCCACTAGAGGAAATAGGGGAAGGCTTAACCCATTCATAAACATAGCAGTTTCTCTGAAACTGCTATGTTTATGAAAAAATGGGTTAACCCTAGCTGGACCTGTGTGAGGAACTGACTCTGCTGGGTTTCGAACCCTGGTTTACATGGTGCTAAACCTTTTCCTTACCAGTACACCAGCCTGCCTTTTGCAAATTTACCTGAGATCTGATACTATTGTTTGTAGAGTCAAGGTTATCAGTGACAACTCACTTCAGCTGTGTCTGGTCAGGTGTCTGGTCAGGTGTCTGGTCCTTGGCCTATAAAAGCCACTTCCTGTCTCTGTACCTTTGCCAGATTATTGTGGTTCCTGTACTCTCTAATCCAGCGTGTTCCTGTTTCTCCTTCCTGTTGCTGAATTTGGACTGTTTTGACTTTGCTGCTTCTCCTTCCCACTGACCTCGGCTTGCCTGACTACGATTATCATCTTTCTGTTCCAGTCTCCCATCTCTGCTTAAGACCAGAAGGCCACTCAAGGCTCAGGGGCTCAACCACCTGGGTAACGAGTGGCTACCTCTGGCAGAAAACATTGCTGATCTGGCTACTGGACTCCAAAACTTTGTAACATCAATATCATTACAGAATAATCTGGCCCATTCATGGAGAC